AAAAAAAAAAAAAGCAGAAAATATGGAAAGACAAAATTAGCCTCCATTTATCTTTTTTTGTTTGGTTTGGTTGGGGTTTTTTTTAATCACTTATTTATTTATTTATTTATTTATTTGGTACAGGGTCTCACTATGTAGGTTGGACTCCTAATGATCCTCCTGTGTCAGTCTCCCCAGCACTGGGATTACAAACATGTGCCACCAGGACCCGCACAGCATGTGGTACTGGAGATCAAACCCAGGTCCTTGTGCTTGCACTTTAGACCACTGATCTATTATCTCCCCAGGCCCCAGGGTTGGGATTTTTTGTTTGTTTGTTAGCCACCGTGCCCCAGCTCCATTTATCTTTTACAAAGTTTCACCAATTGTTAATATTTTCTCTCTCTTATAAGTGCCTGCCTGGCTAGTGCAGGGTCCTGAGTTAGATTTCCAGTAACCCCCCCCCACAAGAGAATTGCTTTCTCTGGATATAAATAGCTCACGTAGACATCTGTGTCTATATATCTATATAGATAATCATATATGGGGGTTTGTTAGTTTTCTGAACCATTTGAAATTATAGAGACCATGTAGACCCTAGGCCAGTGATGGTGGACATTTTAGAGTTTTCAGCATACAGCCACCCGTGAGCTGGCACATGCCTGTAACCTCAGCACTCAAGAAGCAGAGGAAGGGGGACCACCAGAAGTTTGAGGCCAGCCTGGGCCACACAGTGAGCCCAAAGCCAGCCCCAACTACATAGCGAGAGTCTGTCTCCAAACTAGGGCAGGTGTGGTGGTGCAGAATTGTAATCTCAGCACTGGGGAAACAGGCTGGAGGGTCACTGCAAGTTCAAGGCCAGCCTGGACTACATAGTGAAATCTTGTCTCCGAAAAACAGCCCACTGTGGCACTCAGGTCATAGGTTTGCTACCACTGCAAAGCCTTCTGCTCACTCATTGCGCTCTGCAGCTACATATAAGGACCAAACTAAAGAAGTCTGACTTGATTGCACCAGTTCCAACCACTGATGCATTCACATGCGGGTTCCCTGATTCAGATGTCTCAATAATGCCCTTAGTAGCTTCCTCCTCTATCTGGGAACCAGAGTTCTGGAGTTGTATTTTATTGTCATGTGCCTTTAGTCTCCTTTAGCCCAGAAGAGTTCCCTGACTTGGTCTTTCTCAAGGTTGACATTTTTAAGCGTCCCCCTACATCAGTTACTCACAAACAGCCCCCTTCTTACCTGTGACCTTCCCTTCCAGCGCTGGGTTGGATAGCCAAGCTAGGAGGCCCCAAAACTAAAATGTTGGTTTGAAGTGCCACCTGGTGGTCATCTATGAGAAGGCCCTTTCCTCCCATTTGGAGTTGATCCCCACACAAGTACTGGTGCACCCGTTCACACATCCTAGGAAGCCAGGCAAGTTCCAGGCCATTGAAAGAGAAATTTGGGTAGATGGAGGCTCCCCACCCAGAAAGTAGGGGCTAGAGCTGAGCAGGATCCCAGTTTTCAGAGCCAAAGTATGGGGACAGCTTCCCTTCCTGGGTAGGGCCTGAAAATTCCAGCTGCCTGGCTGCCTGCATGTGCATTCCTGTGTCTGAGCTTGATTCAAACCCTGGCTTTGCTACAACAATCTATATAAATTCAGCTAAATTCCTTAATGCCCTGCAGGGGTTGCTCTTCTCATCTGTAAAATGGAACAGTAATCTGTAAAATGAATACCTCTGCCTCATACCACTGTGAAGATTCAGGGAGCCAATATTTAAAGTGCATAGCTGGACATGGTGGTGCATGCCTGTAATCCCAGCACTTGGGAGGCTGAGGAGGGAAGATTGCATGTTCATGGACAGCCTGAGCTACATAGTGAGTTCAAGGCCAGCCTGGACAGGGACACTGTCTCAAATAACCACAATAACAACAACAATAATAATAATGATAATGGCCGGGTGTGGTGATGCATGCCTCTAATCTCAGCACTCTGGCAGGCTGAGGCAGGAGGACTGAATCTGAGCCCAGCCTGGGTGACTTAGCAAGATCCTGTCTCAAAATAAAAAATAAACAAAGGGTTAAAGATGAAGCCTAATGAGAAGACCCTGGGTTCATTCCCCAGTATTGCAATAATGACAATAACGGTTGTGCCCGCCCCACCGCCACCCCTGGGCACACTGTCACAAGCCTGTAATCCCAGCACTGGGGAGGCTGAAAACAGGAGGATCAGTAGGAGTCCAAGCTGTGTAGTGAGACCCTGTACCAATTTCATAAATTAAAGAGCCGCCCCCTCCCTCGCCCTGGTCTGACCCTGGCCCTTCCCGTCCCAGGACTATGTCCCTGTGGATGGTGAGCTGCTGTTCCACCCCGGGGAGACCGCAAAAGAGCTGCAGGTGAAGCTCCTGGAGCTGAAGGAAGTGGACTCCCTCCTGCGGGGCCGCCAGATCCACCGCTTCTACCTCCAACTCAGCAACCCCAAGTTCGGGGCCCGCCTGGGCCAGCCTCAGTCTGCCACCGTCATCATCGGGGAGCGAGGTGGGCAGAGCCTGGGATGGGCACCGCACATTGAGGGGAAGGCTGGGGGTGCACAGCTGGGGCTGCCGGACTCAGCAAGCATAAGCTTGGGGCTTTGGGTGTGATGTGAATTTCACACAAACAGCAAACACATGGCAGAATGAGTATGCTCTTGTCATGTGAGGCACACTTACCCTAAAGAAAAGCCATCTGGTGTTTATTTGACGACCTTATGCTCACCGAGCGAGACTAAGATCCTGTGCCCACTCAGCCTGAGCCCTCTAGGCTCCTGACCTTTGACCTCATGCATGCATTCCTGGATGTTCAAGTACCCATCAGTGTTAGCCCCAGAGTCTAGAGCCTACCTCCAAGGGCAGGCCCAACAGGCAGAGGAGAGAAGCCAGCACAGAGACATCCTATGTGCCACAGCCTCTCGGCTACCAAGGGAGAGAGAGGGCCTGATGGATCCCCCCTTCTCTGTCTCATTCCTTTGTACCTGCCTGCCTCAGAGAAGCTGCTGGCCAGGGCTCAGTTCCGTCTCTGGAGGAGGGGACCCGGAGTGTTGCCTGAGTCTCTGATGCCCTTGGTGGTGATGGGCCCTCAAAGCTGGCTGCTGCACACTCCATGACCCACTAGACCAGAGTGGTGAACCTATGGCATGCATGCCACCATGGGCCGTTTGCACTGTTGAAAACACTAAAAGGTTCACCCTCACTGCACTAGATGAACTGGACCGGAGCTTCACGAGTCAGATGCTGTCATCGCCGCCACTCCCCCGTGGGGACCTGGGTGCCCCACAGAACCCCAATGCCAAGGCTGCTGGGTCCCGGAAGATCCATTTCAACTGGCTGCCCCCACCTGGCAAGCCAATGGGATACAGGGTAAGGTGGGGGGACCAGGGAGGTGAGGCGCTCAGTACCCATGGGAGAGGTGGGTACCCTGGGGGGGGGGGGCATGCCTAGAACCAGTAAGTGAACAGAAGAAAAGCCCATGTGGGCCTGGGGAAGAGGGAAGAACCATTCTTGAGTATTTCAGACATGTTTTCTCCTTCCTGGAAGAACCTGCCCCCTTGTTCTGCCCCAGCTCTAGTGTGCAAACCCCCAGGATGAGAGCTACAGAGTCCTACTTATACAAAGGGCACAGTAGAGCCAGGGCTGAGTGACCTTGGCGCTTGCCACTCCCCACTGACCAGTCCCCTGCTCTGGAGCAGGTAAAGTACTGGATCCAGGGCGACTCAGAGTCTGAAGCCCACCTGCTCGACAGCAAGGTACCCTCAGTGGAGCTCACCAACCTGTACCCATACTGCGACTATGAGATGAAGGTGTGTGCCTATGGGGCACAAGGCGAGGGTCCCTACAGCTCCCTGGTATCCTGCCGCACCCACCAGGAAGGTGAGGCCTGGTCCTGTTCTTCCATTTGTCCCCAATACCCCAGGGCCAGTGTGCCCTCAGGCCTGCCCCATAAGGCCCTCCTCCTGCTGCTGACAGTGTCTTTTCTGGCTCTCCCCAGTACCCAGCGAGCCCGGGCGTCTGGCCTTCAATGTCGTCTCCTCCACGGTGACCCAGCTGAGCTGGGCTGAGCCAGCTGAGACCAATGGCGAGATCACAGCCTATGAAGTCTGCTATGGCCTGGTGAATGAAGACAACCGTAAGGAAGGGACTCTTCCCAACCTCAGTGGCAGCAGCCCTGCAAAACAGGGCCAGAGAGCCTGCCTGGGGCTCCGGGTCACTCCTGGGCAGCTTGAGGCCCTGGTCAGCAGATAAGCCTGAGGCATTGTGAGGCTTTTGGTCAGCTAGGGTTGTACATGCACACAGAGGTGACAGCCAGGTAAGCGGGGTGGCTCACCCTTATAATTCCCTTAGGACAGAGCACAGTTGTTAGGGTTAGCAAATAAAAACTCAGAATGATAGCTTAACAGCACAAGTTCAATACCTGATACAAAAAAGCAAGGCCTGAGGAATGGAGCTCAGTACAAAAGCACTGTTTTTTCTTTTTAGAACTGGGGATTGAACTCAGACTCTTGCGCTTGGCAGGGAAGCGCTTATTCCACTGAGCCATTTCCCTGGCTCCAGTACAAAGGCTCTAAAAATATAAAAAGAAAGGGGCCAGGGAGATGGCTAGTGGAATAAGCACTTCCCTGGCAAGTGCAAGGGCCTAAGTTCAATCCTTGGTTCTGCAAAAAAAATTAAAAAATATATATATATATATATTCTTTATATATTTATATCCATATATATATATCTATATATATATATATCCCCAGATATATATATATATATATATATATATATATATATCCTATACATATATCCTTTATATATATCCTTTATATATAAAGGACATATATATATATATATGATATATATATAAAGGGCTGGAGATATAGCTCAGTGGTAGAGTTCAGGTCTAGCATAACTAAGGCCATGACCTTAATGCCTTGTGTCAAACACAGGATATGCTGAATTTCAGATAAACATTTTTCAGGGGCCGGGGAAATGGCTCAGTGGAATAAGTGCTTCCCTGGCAAGTGCAAGGGTCTGAGTTCAATCCCCAGTTCTGGAAAAAAAAAAAAAAAAATTTCAGAGTACTTCATGCATTTTGTCCGGCAGCTTTAGGCAAGAACACCTGGCAGAACTGTTATTTTTCCCCAGTCCTGGAAGGGAGGCAAGGTTAGATGACCACTGCAGCTGTTGAGATGAGAAAGTGCCCTATTTCTCACCTGGTGCAGGGACTTCCACACCCCCTCGCCTCTTTATGCCAGTCCCAGGGATGGAGAGCTGACCCCCTCACATCACCTGAGGACCCCAACATGATGACCTGACAGAACAGAGGACAGCAAGACTTTAAGTGGGGAGATGGGGCTGCCTGGTCACTCTTCACGAACCATCTAATCACATACCAACCTTCTTGGTAGCTTCTTAACACTGTGGTCTAAGTTTACATTTAGCTCACTCATGGACCAATTGGAAAGTCCTCTCTGACCTGCCGATTAACTCCAGTGATGACTTGTGGCCCAGTGAAGAGTCATCAGCAATGGTTCCAGCCCATGGCTCCTCTTGCTGAGGCCTTGCTTTCGTGGCCTGTACTGGGTGGCACCCCCAGCCCTCCTGCCAATGTGATCCTGCCAGGCCCAAATCTCCTCCTACCCTAGCTCCTCTGGCCTAAGTGTCAGTGTCTCTCCCCCTACCTCCTCAGCATGGCATTTGGGCTGGGCTGTCACCTTGAGCACAGGGTGGGAAGATCCTTGTCCTGGAGGCACCTTGGATGCAGGACCACTTGCTGATCAGTTGATCAGTGTAAGTCACAGCAGAGCCACCATGAGCCTCGTGCTGGCCTTGCCACTCATTTAGCAAGGAGTCCTTTGCCAAGCGGGTGGCAGCTGGTGGCTCATCACACTTAGGTTGTAGGTGGCAGGAGTTTCCGGCTGGCTCCCTGCCCCCTCCACGTATAGATCAGGGCTCTACTGCAGTCTCGTAGGTGGGACAAAATGAGAACTAGGTGACTCCTCTGAAGCACTCTGCTTCTCCCAGGACCCATTGGGCCCATGAAGAAGGTGCTGGTGGACAGCCCCAAGAACCGGATGCTGCTCATTGAGAATCTTCGAGAATCCCAGCCCTATCGCTACACGGTGAAGGCCCGAAATGGGGCAGGCTGGGGTCCTGAGCGTGAGGCCATCATCAACCTGGCCACCCAGCCCAAGAGGCCCATGTCCAGTGAGTAGTGGGTGGCAATGGACAAGGTAAGCAGAGGGACAGGAGGCCCCTCAAGCCCCTGGCTCACCTCGTCCTACCCTGCAGTCCCCATCATCCCAGACATTCCCATCGTGGACGCCCAGGGTGGAGAAGACTACGAAAGCTTCCTCATGTACAGTGACGAGGTTCTGCGCTCCCCAGCTGGCAGCCAGAGGCCCAGCGTCTCGGATGACACTGGTGAGTGTGCTTCACAACAGAATGGGGTAGGTTCTAGGCAGAGGGATAGCCCTGGTGTCTAGACAGCATGGGGGCTGCCAAGTGCTGGGCATGCGCTCAAGGCAAGCAGTCACCCCCCTCTGGGGCTCACACATGAGAGTACACAGAGGGGACAAAACTAAAGTGGCCCATGGGCAATGGTGCACATCGTGTCTCAGGACATACAGGCATCTGCCTGTAGGCAGGTGAACACAGGCTCACATACATGTAACCAGGCTTTCAAACATGGGATATGGGGACCCGGGGAGATGGCTCAATAGAATAAGCACTTGCCTGGCAAGCATAAGGGCCTGAGTTCAACCCCTGGTTCCGCCAAAAAAAATAAATAAATAAAAGACAAAACAAAACCAAAAATCAAACATGGGATCTGAAAGTTGCCCAGCTGTACCCTGGAGTCAAGACACTCCACCCGCGCCCAGGTCAGCTCCAGCAGTGGGAGGAGCACGAGGCAGCGATGGCAGCTGTTCCTCCCCACTTGATTCCCCAGCAATGTGATGCTTGTGCTGGACTCCTGAGTACACAGGTTTATCTGGCTCCGTGACACCAACATGGATCAGTTACTTTCTCTGTGCTTTTAGTTTTCTAACCTGCAAAATGTGACACCTGTCACGCAAGGCTTGGAGTGGAAAATCCTCCAGAGGACGTTTACAGTTTGTGCTTTTGTCTCCCCTGCCCGTGTGTGGGCGATGTCTTTGCAAATGTCTGCGAGTCTGAGCCTCTAAAGGACCAGGAGCCCCAGTTCAGTTGCTACTAGCACTTCTGGAGCTGTCCTGAGAGGCAGGCAGGGACTTGCTAATGCTGAACAGGCAAAAAGCTGGGCGTATTCAGAAACAAAAGAAGCCTTAAGCTGGTGCCAGGCTTTACCCTGTGGCTGTGGCCACAGCTGCGCTTATTTATCCGTAAGGCCTCAAGCCGGTGAGGGTCTCTGTTCTCTCCGGTGGCCGGCCCCAAGTCGCCAGAGGGCCGGGAGGAAGGGCTCCACCGCGGCGCCGCCAACGCGGCCCTTCGTTATTCCCAAGGCGGCAGCTGGAAGTTCGAGCCCCTGCTGGGGGAGGAGCTGGACCTGCGGCGCGTCACGTGGCGGCTGCCCCCGGAGCTTATCCCGCGCCTGTCGGCCAGCAGCGGGCGCTCCGACGACGACGGCTGTGGCGCCGCGGGTGTCATGGACTGGGAGGGTGGCAACTGGGCCCGCGAGGCGACGCCCCGGCCTCCCGGAGGTGACCGCCTGCCCGAGGCTCACCCATTGCTCCGGTGTCCCACTTGGGCCGGCTGCCTATCAGGTTACCCTGACCAGGGCCCTGCAACAGCACCAGGCCAACCTCTAGAGCGCAGGATTTCCCTGAAGCAGGATGGGGCAGTGACACCCCAAGACTGTATCTGGCTGGCTGGGGGCATACAATTTCCGCAGCCTTCGGGGTGTGGTGGTGCACTGAGGGAGGCCGAGGCAGGAGGACCTCAAGTTTGAATCCTGCCTGAGCTACAAGCAAGATGGTATCTCAAAAAGAAGGGGTGGGGGGGCCTAGCCCTAGCTCCATTCTTTAAGTGGCTGCTTCCACAATGCTGGCAGCCTCAGTTTGCTGTAGTTCGATCCCCACAACACTCCAGCCATGCAAAAGTGCCCTGAAGGCATTCA